AAAAAAAAAAAAAAAAAATTAAAAAAAGTACTATGCACGTCTCATTATAGGTGATGGTGTTTGAGCTGGAGGCGGAGCTAGCATTTGAAGTTTATGGCTCTAAACATGCCACCCAACTCATATCTGTTTAGTTAGTGGGTTTGCAATTAAGTATTTATACCTATTTTGTGGATTTTCAAATAAAAAATAGGGTTTAAGCAAAAGCTATTGGGTTGGTCCATACCCACCCGTGAGCACTGAGCAATACTCTACCTCTGCCCCTGGGTTGAGCAGACTATGAGAAGTCTAAAATTAAATTGTTTCTACAGCCTAAAAAACAGCCTTAAAAAAGTGTCACATAAAGTAGAACTGAAGAAAATATTCCATAATAGTGAACACCGCTGAGAAAACTTCACCGATGCAAAACATATCATAGCTATATCATAGCCACTCTCAAGTTCGAATAAAGGAGGAGTTTTCCTAGCTTGACGATCGACTTAGAAGGTAGTCATATACTATCATGAATCTTCTAACTATTTGATTCTTTGGGACGTGCTCCCCTAGGCATGCATTACATAGATATCCAACTTAAGTGGTGAATGGACAAAGAGTTTCAATAAAATGGCATGAATAGAGTCAATAGGAAAAATGCCTGAGTAGAGTACAATGTATATATAAGATTCATATAATTGACCTCAGCTAGTTTGAGATTGAGGTATAGTTGATTTTTCATATGCTCTTGGGGTCCTAACTCAGTTTTTGGTATGCTTATACCTATCAGTTTTTCCACTATTTTGGGCTGTGCTTGAATCACTGTATAATGTTTCAATTTGACTTAGTAGGAACAAGTTAATTGGGCTTAAAATGTGGAAATCTCAATGATGGCATAGTTTTTATAAAAACAAGATGATTGTATAGTTTCAATTAGAATTGAATTATTGCCCAATTTCAATCAAAACTCATTTTTGAGCAAGTTAACTCAAATAGTGTTTTCATTTTCAATGGTATGTAACTCAAATTTCCATTATAGTAGTAATGCAAATTTACTTGAGTAGCTTACATCATATAAGGACCTGTTGTTTTTAGTTTAGTGGTGATATGCATTAGTACAGTCCCTTGAACAATGAACATTTCATCTTCGTTGGGGAATCGAGGAATGCCGACAGTCACCATGAAGTAAGTAATTGTAGGGACATTGAGATCGATGAAGTCATGGAGGCAATGCGTAAGATGAGAAGGGGCAGAGCTACCGGGCCAGACGAAATTCCGGTTGAACTGTGGAGGTGTGTGGGTAGAGCAGGCTTGGAATGGCTTACTGCATTGTTTAGTGTTATATTCAAGACTAATAGAATGCCTGAAGAGTGGAGGTGGAGTACAATGGTCCCGTTGTATAAGAACAAAGGTGATGTCCAGAGCTGTAACAACTATAGGGGCATCAAATTGCTAAGTCATACCATGAAAGTTTGGGAGGNCCCTCCCCAGACCCCACTTGTGGGATTATACTGGGTCGTTGTTGTTGTTGTTGTTGTTGTTGTGGGTCTTAAATTTTTTACTTCAGTCTTCGTAATGAACCCCATATATTTTGTGATGAGTTAGACCTATGTTGCAAGACTCTCCAAAATGCTGCCACACCCATGTTGGATCCTCCAAAAATATACTACTTTTGGAGGATCCGTCATGCACCCGGCGAAACCGGCGACATTTTCGGAGAGTCCAAGCAACATAGAGGTAGACAACCATATCTACTTATCAAGTCAAGGCCTAATATAGAGCTTTAAATCTATGAAACCCGACACGCGTGGGGATGTATTCGAGGGTCATATGTACCTAAGCACTGAATTGCACTGGCAAGCATCAGATGCATGCTAGCTTGGTTTAGGCATGGTTGTTTTCTGATTCTCGAACCTTTGTTGTTCAGGCATGTAACAAGATATGAATTACGAGAATGTTTAATTAGAATTTCTAGGCTACTGTTATTAATATAACGACGAATAAAGTTTCCATTGCCAACACCTACAACTCTGTTCCTTAAATAATTGGTATGTGGTGCATTATGAGTTTGGTTTGTTTAAATAAGTAGTATCAATAAAATTGAAAAATTAAATCAGTCCATTCCTCAGCCTCTTCCTCATTCTATTCTGAGCTATTTTTTGGCTCGATGATTTTGTGCCCTAGTATGGCTCTTCCTCTTTTTCTTCATGGACCTTTTAACTCTTCCATTTCCTTTTCAAGTTCTCACTCTCTTTCTCCTCCTCATCGTCTTTCTTCAATGGTCAGTGCTTACTGTTGCTAGTCCTCTCATAAGACGTGTTTAGTTACTTGTCGTGATACATGCCGAATTATCAAGTAATATGCTGACCAGTGGTAACACTGTTTTTTTTCTGGAGTTAATAGCTTGTTTTAATGCTGGAACTGGCTGCAGTTATATTCTTATTCAAACATTTGTAGCAATTAGCTGAAAAATGGAGTACAACCTTTCAAAACATAAAATTGGTTTTAGTTTGCACCTCTCCAGTAAGTTGCATCTGAACTAAAGAGTTTCCATGCTCCTAATGTTATGTGTCAACTTAACTACATGTTGTCAGCATTTTTCTATTGCTGAATGATGGAATCACTGCTCTGGAACATCAATGTACCCTTAGATGATAGGCACACATTGTGGAGACTAGAACTTGTCAATTAATCTGAACGACTCAACCGTAACCCATAGGTTTAGGCGTGAATGGCATACTTGTATGTGGAGCATCCTTGACATGAATGAGGTTTTTAAACTTTCTTTTTAGATCTGATGATGAAGTTTTTATACGTGTCGGAGAATTATTGCTTTGTCATGGAAAATAACTGACCGCGTCCAGCTACTTTCACTTGCATGTCTATGTTAAGGCCTGCATGCATTTACAGCAAATTATTCCAGTATGCTTGTATCACAAATATATGGCACCTGACCATTCTATAACATAAATGGATTCCAGGGTGCTGCCATATCTGACAACACTGAAGCATGGAAATCGAAGCTCACTGCTCTGTTACGCGACAAGGATAAACAAGAGGTGCTCTCAAGGGAGAAAAAGGATAGGCGTGATTATGAGCAAATAGCAGCTTTAGCGAGCAAAATGGGTTTATATAGGTATCTTTCATCAGAAAGTGTCTTGTTTATAGATTTGTTTTGGTACAGGACTTTAAGTTGCCACCACCCTTTGCAGCAACCTATATTCAAAAGTAGTTGTTGTCAGCAAGCTTCCATTACCAAACTACAGGTTTGATTTGGATGATAAGCGTCCTCAGAGAGAGGTATGTTGTTGACGGTTAGATCTTGTTATTCAGTAATTTAAATTCGACTCAACACAAATGCTTCCACTTCTATTTACCTTTTCTTATTTGATTATCTTTATCTAGATTTACATTCCTGTTGCTTCCCACTTGGTCAGCCTTTATTGGTTTTACATGCTTGTTTCCTGTATACCCTACTCTCCCCCTTTCTGCCTCTTTTTCCTGTTCTTTATTTCCTTAATGATACGATTGCATCCTTCAAATAATTGTCAGGTGATCTTGCCTCCGGGGTTGCCAAGACGAATAGATACTTTTCTTGGAGAATACTTGTCTCATAAGCCAATGAGCGTGGCTGTACTTTCACGATCAAGCAGTAATGGTAGCATAACTACCGATGAGGGTCTATTTGAGCAGCCAGAGTTACTCCCTCAAAGTAAGGCTTCCATGGAGAACATCCTTTGGCGTAGGAGCATGCAAATGCGAGCTGAGCAACAAACTTGGCAGGTTCAATCACCTCAAAAAATTTAGAGCATATTGACGTCTGTGCAAATTAAAAATGATCTCCCTCTTCCAGCCTTTTGTCATTTCTTCAAACAAGATACTTAGTTTTTGTGGGCTACTTTCTATAGGCCAGACATTACAAGTGAAGTTTGCTGCCTGAAACCTATGATGGAGTGAGATTTAAACATGCAACAACTATACATTCTTCTTAATTTGTCTGGAGTCTGGACTAAGCAATAAAAATAGGTGTTGAGATTGCATTCTTTCCAATAACATGCTAAAGGTAAAACAAATACATGTAGGTTGCATGCTTTAATCAAATACTATAGAGTGCACGAGAATAAAGTTACACTAGCTGATCTGTCGGAATGTGTGTAGATACACTGCATGTAGTATTATCTTGCCAGGAGATTCGCACTATATGATATTGCAGGGGCAGAACTCAGTAAAGGCACTTTCTTCTACCACAGTTGAATTTACTATTGCTGGAGTAGCCCTTAAAATATCAAGAACATAATTAGCAAGTAGTATTGGTTTTTGTTTTTTCTGCACGTCTTCTTTGAATTATTGTCTTTTCTCTAACTTCTCAAAAAAGGAAAAAAAATGTTGTTCACTTGCTGTTTTCCTCTGACCTGCTACGGTGAGAGATAGGATATTTGTGTACTTAAATATAACTTGCAAAAGTTATCAGTGGTATGTTTTAAAAAATTAGGACGCAACACACTCAAGTCCAAAGGTATAATGTTGTTTATTCAGAAGTCTTTCTTTATGTTTATCCCCAAGAGTTTATACGTTACATTCCCAGTTAGTTGAGAAAATACTAGCAGTTATAGTATATAACACATGATGACCTTGCTTTTGCCTTCATTTTTTTTCTTCAAGATGCCTCACTTTTGATATGCTGATATCTTCTCATTCTTTCTCCAGTGTTTCTCTTTTCTTCCGTTCAGGGGCTCACACTTCTTTGTTTTAGACTGTACTTCAATTTCTTGGTTCTACCAGAAACACATGGGCATTCAGATAATAACAATTAAAAAAAAACAAAAAATTGGCACTCAGTTAAGAAGAATATTAGTCATCTTTGCGTTTTGGAGATTTTTGATGCTCAGATAGGAACAATATCAATCATAATTGAGTTTTGAGATCTGATTCATAGACCTAACTAATATTATTGAGGACTCTGGTTTAGTTATAGATGTGACAAAACTTTTGGTTTAGAGTCTTAATTTAGGAAGCGTAAAAGCAGTCAGTAGGTGGTCAAAACTTTAACATAAACATTGGCGCTAGCTGTAGCTCGCGATTTGTGAAATGCTTTAGTTCATATCAAAGCTTAGCACTGATAGAGAAACTAAGAGGTCCTTGTTCAAGGCGTCAAACAAAAGCCCCCATAGGTCTTCAATTGAATGGGTCTTCAATTGAATGGCATAAACAAAAATGGAGTTTCTTTAGTATTAAGAGATTTCTTGATGCAAACCTATAATACCCGCATTCATAGGAAAAAAAAAACTTCCAATCTCACTATATGTCTGATAACTTTAGTGACGAATATTAAAATCTTTTTATAAATGAATTTCTGAAAATTTATATAAATGGAAATCCAATCTCAACTGTCTGTAGGGAAAATAGTACGTGCTAGAGTGAGTAAACAGTCTGCTGTCACTTCATTCCTTTGACCCTTTTGCACTAGATTTTTCCTGCACTATATGTTCTTAATACTGTATCTCCACAGTTTGTAACTTTTTATAGCTCCTTTTTTTGTACTGGTTATTTCTTTTTACAAGGTTAGTAAAATTTTCTAAGTATCTTTGTTGTTTTTTGTTCTCCCTGTGGAAGGTGGATTCATGGGATAACATTCTTGTTTGTTATAGGAATCACCAGAAGGTAGGAAGATGCTGGAATTTCGTAGTAGTCTACCTGCATATAAGGAAAAAGAAGCAATATTAAGTGCCATTTCACAAAACCAGGTATGTTAGATCTTGAGAATCTATCCTCAACCTCGTGGAGTGTCGTAGCTGTCAGTGACAGGTCCCCATGTACATCTTATATTATTGGTGAAGGAGAAAAAGAGCTTCTTTTGATTCTGTTGTTTTTATGATACGTTTGAGGTGTAAGATCATAAAATATGTGGTTGTGAAATATCATCAAACAGTATTCTCATATATTTAACCATTAACATTCACTAAGGGCAGTTGGTGGGCTAGCAAGACATCCCACGATTAGAATCCAAGAATGAAGGATTATAATCAGGACACTAAGTGGTCGTTTGTACATGGAATAAGGATAATAATCCCGGGATAAAATTTGGGATTAACTTTATCCCATGTTTGGTTTGGGGTATTAGCTAATCCCGGGATAACTTTTACACTAAAATTGTGGGATTAGCTATCCCATATAAAGGTGGGATAAGGATATCCCACCCCATGGGATATCTTGGGATATCCCACCATTGTACCAAACGATGCCTAAAAGTAGTATTACTTTCTGTCTAATGCTAGGTTTATTGGACAAATAACAAGAAAAATTGGCAAAAATCCATCTCGACATTCAATTTGAACTCGAATTAAATTTCAGTACCAAAATACTCTTGAAACAACTTTCATTTACAGTTGCAAAAGCTTTTCTACAATATTCTTCTTCAAACTAACTCTATCTCAACCCTTTGACACGACTCTCATAAAAATGCTATGTCATCCACAAATTTTACGAAGCAAAAAATCTAATATACAGCAATAGTATAACATACAAAACCTTACATTATAAAAAAAAGCAATAGTATAACATAGAAGGGGAAGATACGGAACAATTAGCAACGTCGTAAAAAACTTGAGCATTCAACCCAAGACCTTGATGCAGCGGGTGGAATTGCTCAGGACTATTATTAATCCCTATTGAACCCATACACGGTTTGGGACAGTGTCAGTGATACATATCTAACACTTTCTGACATGTGTAACTGGTTCTACAGAAACATGAGGTAAAAAAGTTTATCTTTTGTTTTCGTTTTTGGGCTTGGCTCAACATTTAGAAAAGCGGATATGGAGCATAGAGTATAGGAGTGAAGAATAGACAGGAGCTGAGAGAGGAGGGCATTGAGAAGTGAACTTGGAGTTGAGACAGGACCTGAAGTGGATTTAGTAGCTCAAATGGTTGGGATGGGAGAGAGAAGCTCATGCTTATAAGTGGCTGATATAGTGAACATGAGGTAATGTACAATTGGATTAGAAGTGGAGAGAATGATCGTTGTAATGGACTTGCATGTGGAAAATGGGCTTACTGAAGTTCGGTTCTAGTACCATGCAAAAGAGTCTGGTTGTCCTACCCAAAATATTAAGGTAATGGGAGTAGATTAGGATCATAAATTCCTTTAGAAATTCTTAGAAATGATGTGGGATAGTTATATATATCAATAAAGTAAAATATTGGATAGTTGTATATCTCAATAAAGAAAAAACAAGAAGAGATAAGAGCAGGGCTGGCTCTAACATTGTAGCTAATCAGGCTTGTGCCTTAGGGGGCCCCATTTTTTACAAATAATAGGTTTATAGGCATTTAAATAAAATAAAATTTACTACTTTTAGTACAAAATATTTCATATAAAAGAAAAGTAATTTTTTATAGATGTAAATAAAGTAACCGTTTGGCTTACTTAAAAATAGGTAGTATGAATATCTTTTCTAACGTGTGAATTAGAATTGATTTGACAAGGAAAATAGTACAAGTAGAATATACTATATACAATCAAATAAAAAGGCTTTATTTTTTTTTCAAATATTTATATTGCTTATAAAATAATGTTAACAATTCCTATAACAGTTGCGTCAACGGAAAGAAATTTTTCAAAATTAAAATTGAAAAAATCTTAGCTAAGATCAACAATGTCTCAAGAACGATTAAATGAGTTGGCTATATTATCAATTGAAAAGGAATTATTGGAAGAAATTGATTATAAAAAAATATTAACAACTTTGCATCTCAAAAAAGCTAGAAGAATAGACTTCAAATAAAAATATATATTATAATCTTTTAGAAAAAAATTAGGCCTCATGCCCACAATTGTACTTGAGCCGCCCCTGGATAAGAGGGAATTGTTGCAAACATAAAATAAATGGCAAAAAAGACAAATGAAGCCAGATAGAGGGAGGGAGAGAGAGAGAATGAGATTATGGATAAGAAGGCGATTGTGAAAGGTAAGAGAGAGGGCAGATGACATGCATTTGCGGGATAGGGGAGGGAAAAGAGGACAAGGGTAGGAAGGAGAATAGAGGCACATGGTTGAAAGATGGACAGTTAGGGAGGGTGAAGGAGAAGATGTGAGGGCAAGAGTCCCAAAGAGGGTGGGATTGGAGATTTCTCCCTAGTGCAGTGAGAGAGAGAGAGAGAGATTGAAAATTGTGCTAGAGTTTGGTGTTGGCCTATTTATAGGTGAGGGTCAAAATAATCTCTTGAGACCCAATCCCAGGATAGTTTTCCCGACATGATCGTTCCCTCTTTTGGATGGAGTATTACCGTGGATTAGCAATCCCAAATTAGTCCAGTCACAGTTCATTGTTTATCCAGTTCCATATCTGGCACCAAATGTGAGATATCTGGGAAAGCATTCACATACCGTCGGAGAACCAAAATTTTCTGGCCAGGCATAAAGCAGATGAGGGGCGAGGAAATGGGAAAAATGATGCATGAAATGAAAGGAGTATGTTTTGAAGTATGTCCCAGCTTTGTGAATCTCATCCTTTTACTCACGGATTAAGGGGTGTGGCTTTAGCAAAGAAGTAATACATGAAAAGATTTACATCATGCAATGAATCCTCCTGGTGAAGAATAAAGATCGAATAAGATAGCAAAGTGCAGTTGTTGGAGCCCTTTGAAGTTCTGTCAAATTCGTCTAGCATTCTGGTAACTCCATTACTGGGTGTTAGTGTTGTCTGCCAAATGACCTCTCTGCTCAATTGAAGAGTGGTGTGGCCAGCTCTTAGCTTGATAAACTATTTTTTATTTAGGAAACTAATGAAGCTCAGAATTGAAGGTGTGAAAGAAAACATGAAATAGCTGAATGCCTTGGTAAAGATTTGATTTTTTTGAAATGTATCCTGATGATGCTAATATTAAGAAAAGCTTTTCCGTACGCACAGGTGGTTATTATCTCAGGTGAAACTGGCTGTGGGAAGACCACACAGATTCCCCAATTTATTTTAGAGTCTGAAATTGAGTCTGCTCACGGAGCCATGTGCAGTATCATATGTACTCAGCCAAGAAGAATATCTGCTATGACTGTATCTGAAAGAATTGCTGCAGAGAGAGGGGAGTTGTTGGGTGAAACAGTGAGTTTATGTACTAGCAAATTAACTGCCAACACATTCCATCACACGTTATCTCTTTGCACAGCATTCTGACTGAAAATTTGGAATACGTATTCTGTCTTCTTTGATGTCTCTGTAGGTTGGATATAAAGTGAGGCTAGAAGGTGTTAAAGGGAGGGATACTCACCTCCTCTTCTGTACCACTGGTATCTTGTTGAGAAGACTACTAATTGACAGAAATCTGAAGGGCATCACACATGTAATTGTGGACGAGATTCATGAACGTGGAATAAATGAAGGTATATTTTTGTTTTTAAAGAGATTGTGAAGTTCATGAAATCTGATTTTTAACAATGAAGTATGTCTTGTACCAGATTTTCTGCTAATAGTTCTAAAGGATTTAATCCCTCGCCGGCCTGAGTTAAGGTTGATTTTGATGAGTGCCACCTTAGATGCAGAGCTTTTCTCTTCATACTTTGGTGGGGCTCCGCTGGTCCACATTCCGGTGAGTAAGTTGGTTGGCTAGTTGTGTTTTTAATTGATGTGCAGTATTAATTTCTGCCAATGGTCCTTTTCTACTGACACTTGTTCTATTACTACCTGAATTCCAATTTATGTGGTGAGACATAGTCTGACTACATGGAAAGTTTAAGGTTAATTTGTCTTGTATATTATACTGGTAGAGTAGTAAAAGAAAATAGTAAAACAGGTGTTTTGTATAAAAAATGCTAAATAGTAGTTAAAAACTTAGTAGAATAAGGAAAGAATCATAAATGTTTAAATTTGAATAATGTGAATAGTTGAAGTTTGCGAAAGTTGTTAGAAAAATATTATTGCTAAGTGTTTCTCTTCATAAAGATGTTTCTGTCTGAGATTTGCTTCCTTTTTTATGTATCTTGCTCATGAGATTTCTCCTTTTTATCAGTTAAATTACTTCCTTTGCTCCAATTTTTGTGTCACTCTTCTATTTTGGACATGCAAAATGTAGACAAAATTCCTTTTTTATACATATCACAACTTTCATGAATTCAAGTACTTTAAATTATTCAAATTATAAACTTTGATATGACTTTTTCTATATTGAACTAACTTTTCAACCAATACTGTAATATTCTCTTGCACTATTATTAATAACCAGTCTAATCAACATCTTAAACTCCAGATCTATCCAATTTACCCTCATATGGAATTAGATATAGTGAGTACTTCATTAAAAATCATTGTAAAAGAATGAAAATATCCGAGGACGTCTTAAAATAGAAAGTGTAGCATATAACCTGAGACAGCGCAACAACTTGTGCTTGTTGGTAGGCACTGCACTATTAACGATACTCCTTTGTTGAGAAACTGTTTTTAATTTCACAAGGGTCATGTGTTAAGCTCCTTTGCTAGTTGAGCATTGAAGATAACAATTAGGTCCCTTATCAACCAAAGAAAAAAGATCACAATTAAGTTATGGTTATTGACGTGAAAGTTTCAATCCTGAAGTAGATTCTTTTTAACTCTTGGTGAGAGGTTCTGCTCCCATCGTCGCTTTATGGGTGCATCAAGTCCTCCATTTGCGGAACCCTTAAGTGTCTCTCTCCTTTGCGACATGCACCATTCGCTGCTCAAGAAAAGCAATGAACTAGTGTTGGCAAAGGCATCTAATGGGAAATGATGTGGGTATTTGATTAATTTAGCAAGCCAGTTATAACTATCAATAAGTTTATTAACCCAGAAATAACTGCTAGTTCTTCATTTGGGTGTTCAGTTCTTGCTAAATGGTTTTCTATTCCCATTTGAAGTCTACTTTGTTTTTTGAGCTTCTATAGTTCTTTTATTTGTAGTATGCATTCTTGTTTTAAATGTACTTACTGTTGTGAGATGGAGAGCCGATCTTTCAATTTCTTCGGACTGATATACTGCTCTGTTGCTTTTTTCAATAAATCCAATATCATCTTTCCTAGAAATCCGAATTGTCAACGGTTGCTTATTACGCTGTAGAAATCCTTTTGGAATCTGATTATCACTATGTTGCATTCATGAGTCAGTGAGTCACTAAGCTTCCCTTTATCTTTCTTTTTTTTTTTCTTTTTTTTTTTTGTGATAAAGGAAAAAGAACAAAGATAAAGGAAGCTATCTCTGGTATCTATAAATAGCAATTTCATAAAGGAGATGAAATGAGGGCAGGTCTGATTACATTTGGTTACTCAATATAAATGTAGTGCAAACTGTTTTGATCCTAATGAACATTAGATGGATTGATCTACAACCAATTGTTTTATTTAACCTATTGAAATGTTTGCCGCTGATCGTGGATATAATATGCAATAGAAAATGACATGCAGAATTCACTGTTCAAAGAAATCCTAGAGAAGAGATTGCTAAGAGTATCCCTATCAACATCTGCGGAGACCAGGTTAAAGTTGGGTCTGTCTACCTCCTTTTGTGTGGTTGGGTGGTGTAATATTTATGTGGGCTTCTTGTTATGCTGCTACAAATCAAATTAGATGGTAAGGTTTTTTCCGATGAGAAGTCAGAAGTGTATAAATCTAGAAAGATTACTCGCTACCTTATCCGAAGAAAAAAAATCTGGAATGATTACTTGCATGAAGGGTTTTGACAATATCAGTTGAGATTGGGATTCGATCAGCTTCCCTTTTTGCTGTGCTTATTTTGCTTAGAGAAGACACAGATCTTCTCAGTTGCTAAAAGGAATAGGAGTGAATTTTTCCGGTTCAGGATGTGGGGTTTTTTCTAGTTGAGTATGTGGTAGTTCATTTCTTCTCTTTCTAGGTAGCGCATCTGTATGTTTAACATCATCCGTGCTTGCTATGTCTTAGTTAAGGCACCAAGCAACAAATACAGATTCATCTTTTCTTCCTCGACGCAATTTGATCCATACTTCCATTGCTTCCACATTGTTTTGTGGGTATTTGGTTAAAGTACATGTCAAATGCATTATGTGGTGATGGCTCATTTAAAAAAAATAGTATTATGTGTTGATGGGGACGTTTAGTCTAAAATTTTACTTTCTTCATCAGTGAATTTCTCTTTTTGCTATCCTTAAAATTAGGAAACTCATGAATAGTTGGAGTGCTTTAAGTTGAAAAGTTTTTCCATTGTGTCTATTAGGGATTTACATATCCCGTTCGCACTCATTTCCTCGAAAATATTCTGGAGATGTCGGGATACAGATTGACGCCAGACAATCAGATTGATGATTATGGTCAGGAGAGAACGTGGAAAATGAACAAGCAAGCTCCAAGAAAAAGGAAAAGCCAGATTGCTTCTGCTGTTGAGGTTTCCAACTTAAAAGCAACTTCCACAGTTTTCATTTGCTACAATTCCTGTGCTAATATATTCTTTGTCGTCAGGATGCCCTCAGAGCTGCTGATTTCAAAGAATTTAGCCCTGTGACACAGGAGTCTTTGTCTTGTTGGAATCCTGATTGTATAGGCTTCAATCTTATAGAACATATTCTATGCCATATTTGTGAAAATGAAAGGCCTGGTGCTGTTTTAGTTTTTATGACTGGTTGGGATGATATAAATTCTCTGAAGGATAAGCTACAATGTCATCCTATCTTGGGAAATACCAGCCGTGTTTTATTGCTGGCATGCCATGGTTCTATGGCTAGTACGGAGCAGGTAAAGAAATTTGCATTTATCCTTTTACCTTGCATTTGCTTTACATGCTATATTTTTCTTACATGCAATTGTTAAGAAAATGTTTTCTGTTACTAATCTGAAATTACAATATAAGCATTACTAGTCATTCATGTTCTCTGTCCTTAAACGTTTGGTAATTTGTTATTGTGTTCTGCCCATTAACTGGTGATTTGATGCTTCTCCTGTCTATCAATACAATGGCTTTTCTTACCTTTTGACTTGTTAGATTGAGCGGTTCTATAATTCACTAATTCCTACTTCAGAAAATAAAAAGGAGTTCACAGATGTTAATTTTCCAGTTTAACATCTAAGTTCTTTTTGTGTTGCTTACTCATTACTCGCGCTTCATGCATTTAGAGGTTAATATTTGACAAGCCTGAAGATGGAGTGAGGAAGATAGTGTTGGCTACAAATATTGCTGAAACCAGTATCACAATCGATGACGTAGTTTATGTTATTGACTGTGGCAAGGCAAAAGAGACGTCATATGATGCACTTAATAATACTCCTTGTTTGCTTCCTACTTGGATTTCAAAGGTTTCAGCTCGACAAGTAAGGCACTCTACTTTTCTTGTCCTTTTGTTTCTTAAATTTCTTTGAAGATATGGTTGTGTATGTGCTTTATAATAAATTGTTTGATTCATGCTTAGAATTTTGTGATGGATTTTCTTTCCCTAGCTCAGTGTAACATTCTGGCAGGGGAAGGGACGCATGCACATAGGAAGGAATGCCTAATAGCTGCAAATAGATAGATTGACTAGCAAAGCAATAATGATGCCCATGGAAACTTTTAGGTCTTTCAAAAATCTATCAAGTACAGTGATTATAACAATGTATCATCATATGCTTTGTGAATCTACAAAACTGTCAAAATATCATAAATATCACATTTCGATCCTCATACAAGAACCTTTTCTTTGATGAATGGCCTGTGCTTTGAAGCACGTTTCAATTTTAAGTTCAGATTTGACGAGTACTTTTTTAACCTTAGGTTTACTTCATTCCAGGAAGTCCTTGGACCCAGGGAGTCTGATAATTTTTGGCTTATGCCACAATTTACTGTATGGGATCTTCTAGCTGCATCTCTACCCAAGGAATTAAGATTTTCAATTCTATTTGAATTCCTGCTTGTCTTGGAAGTCAATCTTCATAGTCTATATTTCGTAATAGCCCTTTTAAGAACCTGTGGCATACTAAAGATGCATATTTACTTCAGTTTAAGGTAAAGCAAATGTTCCGAGTATGATGGTTCTCGGTGAAGCTTTGTTGCTCCCTTGTATTATGCACCTTAAGTCATGGAGTTCCTAATCGGATTGTTAGGTTATGCTTCATTTGTTCCTTGTCTAATTTACTATTGACGTCTATTCAAAAGCTGTGAAACAGGAACAACATTCTGTGTACTTTCCCTGGTTTTATGCTCCAAAGCATCATCCATGCCCTTATACCAAGTTACAACAACAACAACAACAATAACCTAGTGTGGTCCCACAAGTGGGGTCTGGGGAGGGTAGGATGTACGCAGCCTTACCCCTACCTTGGAAGGGCAGAAAGACTGTTTCTGATAGACCCTCGGCTAAAGGAGGTGAGAGAAGCCCTGGTAGCAAGTAATAGCAAGACAATAATTAGAAAACTAAATCGAAGATAGCAACAGATAATACGAAAGGGGTACTGATAACAAGTAGTAGCAAGATAACATATTTAGAAAACTAATTTCGAGGCAGCAGGCGAGAATATGAACGAAGTACTACTAGCAAACTACGGAAATATCAATGGCAAGTAACAACGAAACGAGACATGCGAATATAGCAAACTAAGGAAAAAAGGGTACCGTACTAGCGCTAATATTATCGAGCTAGAGAAGACAAAGGGAGACGCACGACTACCTATTAACCTTCTACCTTAATCTTCAACTTCCACGCCCTTCTATCTAGAGTCATGTCCTCGGTTAGCTCAAGTTGCGCCATGTCCCGCATGATCACCTCTCCCAAGACTTCTTTGGCCTATCTCTACCCCTCCTCTCAACTCCTAAGGCCAACCTCTCACATCTCCTGACAGGGGCATCTGTGCTTCTCCTCTTAACATGCCCGAACCATCTCAACCTTGCCTCACGCATCTTCGCCTCCACAGGGGCCACTCCCACCTTATCCCGAATAACTTCATTCCTAATTCTATCCAACCTAGTATGTCCACACATCCATCTCAACATCCTCATTTCCGCTACCTTCATCTGCTGGATATGGGAGTTTTTGACTGGCCAACACTCTGCCCCATACAACATAGTCGGTCTAACCATTACCTTGTAGAACTTACCCTTAAGTCTCAACGACACATTCTTATCACAGAAGACACCGGAAGCGAGCCTCCACTTCATCCACCCTGCTCCGATACGGTGTGTGACATCCTCATCTATCTCCCCATCCTTCTGAATTATAGATCCCAGATACTTGAAACTCTCTCTCCTGGAAATGACTTGCGTATCGAGTTTCACATCCCCGTTTGCCTCCTGGGTAACACCGTTGAACTTGCACTCCAAGTGTTCTATCTTGGTCCTGCTCAACTTGAAACCCTTAGACTCCAGGGTATGTCTTCGTACCTCCAGCCTCTCGTTACGCCACCTCGCGTCTCATCAATTAGGACTATGTCATCCGCAAATAACAAGGACCAAGGCACCACCCCTTGAATGTGATGTGTCAAAGAATCCATCGCCAAGGAAAACAAAAACGGGCTAAGTGTTGATCCCTGATGCAACCCTATCTCAACCGGAAAGTAATCAGAGTCTGCTCCTGCTGTCCTAACCCGTGTCTTAGCTCCATCATACATGTCCTGGATCACTCTAATATACGCTACAGGCACTCCTCTAGCCTCCAAACATCTCCATAGAACTTCTCTAGGGACTTTGTCATAGGCTTTCTCCAGGTCAATGAACACCATGTGCAAATCCTTCTTCACCGCCCTAAACTGCTCCACCAACATCCTTACAATATGAATGGCCTTAATGGTCGACCGTCCCGGCATGAAACCAAACTGGTTCTCGGAAATGGACACACACCTCCTCAACCTCCCTTCAATCACCCTCTTCCACACTTTCATCGTATGGCTTAACAACTTGATACCCCTATAGTTGTTGCAGTTTTGGACATCCCCTTTGTTCTTGTACAACGGGATCATCGTACTCCACCTCCACTCTTCGGGCATCTTTTTCGTCCTAAAAATGACGTTAACCACCTAGCAAGCCATTCCAAGCCCTCCTTACCCACGCTCTTCCAGAATTCCACCGGGATCTCGTCCGGCCCCGTCGCTCTAGCCCTACTCATCCTGCACATAGCCCCTACAACCTCCCCTACTCGTATACGTCTACAGTACCCAAAATTTCGTTGCCGCTCCTAGTACTCCAACTCCCCCAGCACAATGCCCCTATCTCCCTCTTCATTCAAGAGCCTATGGAAGCAAGACTGCCATCTCTGCCTAATCTGTGCCCTCTCCAATAAAACTCTTCCCTCCTCATCTTTTATGCATCTCACTTGGTCCAGATCCTTGGCCTTCCGCTCCCTCACCTTCGCTAGCCTGTACAACTTCTTGTCCCTGCCTTTATCCCCAATTTCTTCGTGTAGACGACTAAATGCGGCGGTCTTAGCCGTAGTAACCGCCAACTTTGCCTCCTTCTTATACCCCTCCCTGTTAGCACTCTTCTGCCCCTCGTCTATACTCTCTACTAGCTTCAAATATGCCGCTTTCTTGGCTTCCACTTTCCTCTGAACCTCTTCGTTCCACCACCAGTCCCCTTTATGGCCACCAGAAAAACCCTTTGAGATCCCTAACACCTCTCTCGCCGTCTCTCTAATGCAATTTGCTGTCATAGACCACTTACAACTCGCATCCCCACTACTCCTCCAGGCCCCAATAGCCAGCAACTTCTCCCCCAACTCCTAGGCCTTGTCCTTAGTCAATGCACCCCACCTGACCCTAGGTATACCAGACATAGCCCTCTTCTTCCTCGTCCACCTGATCTCTAAGTCCATAATCAAAAGCATATGTTGGGTCGTAAGATTCTCATTCGGGATGACCTTGCAATCCGTGCATAAACCTCTATCACATTTCCGGAGAAGTAGATAATCAATCTGGGTCTTGGCCACCGCACTTCGAAAAGTTATCAGGTGCTCCGCCTTCTTCGGGTAACACGAGTTAGCGATCACTAGCTCAAAAGCTTTAGCGTACTCTAGCAGCGAAGTACCTCCTCCATTTCTATCTCCAAAAGCGAAGCCACCATGCACATCATCATATCCCCAAGGCGACCTCCCAATGTGGCCGTTAAAATCACCCCTATAATAAGCTTCTCGGTGGACGGTATACCTCATACCAACCCATCCAAATCTTCCCAGAAGCGTCTTTTAACCTCCTCGTCCAAACCCACCTGAAGCGCGTAAGCACTAGCTACGTTCAGAGTATACCCTCCCACGACTATTTTAATGGCCATCAACTTGTCATTCACTCTCTTAACTTCAACCACTAGCTCACTTATATCCTTATCAACTAAAATGCCTATCCCGTTCTTCCCTCTCACCCTCCCTGAATACCACAACTTAAAACCATCCGCCTCCCGAGCCTTGTTCCCCACCCATCTAGTCTTCTGGACACAAGCTATGTTAATCTTCCTCTTATGGAGTATCTTTGCTAACTCTATAGACTTCCCCGTTAGAGTCCTTATGTTCCATGACCCCACTCTCAACCTAGAAGGTGCCTTACCCCCTGCCACCCTTGCCCTCTAACCCTCGCTCCGCCCGCTCCCCTCGAGGACATGCCCTCACTCTATCATAGTTCGGTGCGGCCACTAGACCAGCACAAAGCTACAAAAAGATAGACTAAACAGAAACCTACCGGTACACAAGGTGCTAATAAGGGATCCGACTAAGAAGGGACCAACTATGTATTGGCTATAACACTAAGGAGAAAGACAGAGACCGATATAAGCAGACAAGTCTAACTAAATATGATTTAAACAAGATACTGTAGATGTCAAGGATACCGTCAAGCAAAAGGGAAAAATAAAAAAATAAAAAATACCAATATCAATATCACGAATACCAGATATAGAACGAAAGAACCTGGGGCAAGTTTTCCTGAAGTTTATCGGATCTGCTCAATAGCACTGATAGTCCTGCTGCGTCCCGCTGTAAAGCTGAACGGGAGTCGCCGGAATTAATGAAACTTGCCGGAAATCTGTACACACGCCGAAAAATGATTTGTCCTCACCGGAAAAATGTTGCACCT